ACCGGGCTCTCCTTCAGAACGTGACAGTTTTTTGTTTGAAATCTGCAAACTCAACAAAGGTTGTTTGCTCTTTTTCTCCAGTTTTCTCTGCGTCTCTCTCTCTCTCTCTCTTTTTCTTTCTTTCTTTCTCTGTTTCAAATTTCATGTTTCAAAGTTTCTGGAATTTCGAAATTCCAGAAAATTTCCAAATTCAGAATTTTCCGGAACCATATAAATTTCGAAAAATGCAGAAAATTCCGAAAATTCGAAAACTCTGAGAACTCGAAACTTTCAAAAATCCCAGAGTTCTAAAATTTTCGAGAATCCGATATTGTTAACAACATTCAACATTTATTAGGACGAACAGACACACAGACAGATTCCAACATTATTCAAGTTTATATCCACAAGCCACGCCCAATTCATTTCCGGTTCCTATTCCACATACGACATCATTAATCCTTGCGTTCCTACCATGTGTAATAGACACAGCCAAACAGTTCTCGGGTTCTCCTTTCCTAGAAAATTATTTTAAATATATTTTCTGCGGCGAACCCTCTGAACATTACGTATTGGTAAGAGATAGCCAACCGTTATCGGATTCAAATGCTCCATATCCCTCTGTATATCCATCGGTCCATGTGAAACTCTGAAATTTCGAAATAATCAAACCTTAAAACTACAGTAACCACTTACTATCTTTTCTAGAGTTTTCCTCTCCCCATCTATCCAGATTCCTTTGAATGAACCAACTTCTGGAAGCCAACCCCGAAGTTTGCTTCAAAAAAATTTTTTTGTTAGAAATAATTTAGTAAAACTCACACAAAATCCATTTAGGCTCTTCAACAGTTGCCACACCTGTTACTAATTTTCCCATTGAACTACAGTAGTCCTTTGCTTCCTTTTGAGTCGTCCCGGTCCCAGTTAAAAACACCTGCATACATACAATAATCTCTGGATCGGATCTTTTGAACATTTTCCAATTTCCCACACATTTTTTGAATTGCCACGTGGAATCGGAGGTCTTGGTCCATGAAATTGGATCCTCTCCTAGGAAGATTTTCGTAGAAATTTCAGATTCAATTGGACAATATTCCAGATCTGATGTGGAGAGATTTGTCTGAAAATCTGATTTCAAAAATTTCGAAAATTCCAGAAAAAACCTTAAAAGCCACAAAGAATCCATCGTCTCGATTGGTTTCCTCAACTTTCAAAGTTTCCGTCGAATTGTAAAAAAATAATTGACAATTCGATTCTTCATTGAAAAATGCCAAAATACAATCTGAATCCGAAAAACATGTCTGCGTACAATTCTCATCTGTTTCTGCATCTTTTAAATCAAAATCTAGCACTTTTCCAAAGATTTTCATCATTTTTAGGACTTCTGAAAATTGGAAAATTTGTCGAAAAATGAAAATTGTGGAGTTAATTACCTGCATAATTATTTTGAAGAGTTAGAAGTATAAAAATGAGAGAAATTATGGAAATTTTGGAGACCATGATGGTTCTGAAACTTTTAAATTTTTATAATTAATTTATGTTCTAATTAATTTTCAAAGAAAATTTGAGAAAAAAATTCGTTTGGATTTTCAAAAAGTTGGGAGAAAAAGAAGAAGAAAAGAAGAAACTAAAAAGTCAAGAGCTAAGAAAAAAACGGAAAAAAGAATAAAAGTTTTATGTCTAGACTTACGTAGAGATACTTGAGAAAAATAATGTTTCAAAGTTTCTGGAATTTCGAAATTCCAGAAAAAATCTAACATTCAGAGTTATCCGAACAAATATATAAATTTCGAAAAACGCAGAAAATTCCAAAAATCGGAAATTTGTTTGGCTGTGTCTATTACACATGGTAGGAACGCAAGGATTAATGATGTCGTATGTGGAATAGGAACCGGAAATGAATTGGGCGTGGCTTGTGGATATAAACTTGAATAATGTTGGAATCTGTCTGTGTGTCTGTTCGTCCTAATAAATGTTGAATGTTGTTAACAAAATCGGATTCTCGGAAATTTTAGAACTCTGGGATTTTTGAAAGCTTCGAGTTCTCAGAGTTTTCGAATTTTCGGAATTTTTCGAAATTTATATTTGTCCGGATAACTCTGAATGTTAGATTTTTTTCTGGAATTTCGAAATTCCAGAAACTTTGAAACATTATTTTTCTCAAGTATCTCTACGTAAGTCTAGACATAAAACTTTTATTTTCCTCCTTTTTTCTTAGCTCTCGACTTTTTAGTTTCTTCTTTTCTTCTTCTTTTTCTCCCAATTTTCGGAAATTCAAACTAATTTTTTACTGAAATTTTCTTTGAAAATTGATTTCAAGATTTCAGGAACATCACGTTCTCCAAAATGTTCTTAATTCCCCTTATTTTTATATCTCTAACCCCTCAAAATAATTATGCAGGTAATTAACTCCACAATTTTCATTTTTTGACCAATTTTCCATGTTTCAGACGTCCTGAAAATGCTGAAAATCTTTGGAAAAGTGCTAGATTTTGATCTAAAAGATATAAAAAATGCCAAAATGGATTGGTTTTTTTTCTCAAGTATCTCACAACCTCAGATCCCGATTTTTGAGAAATTTTCAGACAAACCTCTCAACATCAGATCCAGCTACAGAGTTTTAGATCATCATTCTTATAATAAATAAATGAAGTTGCGTCTCTCTATCTCTGGTTTTCTAAAAAATATGCTTTCTCAATTTTTCAACAAAATTCAAATTTTTATTCGGACAAACAGACACGCGAACAGACAAAAATTAAATTATTCAAGTTTACATCCACAAGCGACACCTCGTTCCCACGTGGATCCCTTGTCACAAGCGATATCATTGATTGTCGCGTTTCCATATTTGTCCTCCTCCAATATTGCCACATGCAAACAATTTTCTTCTGTTTCTTTATCACTGAAAGATCGATAAAATATTTAAAGGAGGTCAGACACGAAAGTCAGTTTTCTTGGAGCGAGAGTATGTATTCTGACGGGAAATCGTGCGATTGCAACCAATGCGCGCTACTTGACGAGCATTTATTTTTTTCAATACACACTAGATTTCTTCACTGTTTGGCAATTACTCCCGACTTCTTCTAGTTGTTCGGCCATTCTAGGATGTCGCCGCATGAAAATAGAAAAAAAAACGAAAACGCACAGATGGGAATCGAACCCGCGACGCGCGACTGATAGACAAGCGCGTTCACCTCTACACCACAGGTGATTCGCGACTTGTCTATCACGAAGCTTTATCCATACCGCATTTGATTTCAGACCAATCGCGAAAACACAGAGTTCATAATAGACCTATCGCGAACGCCTTCGCGATAGGTCCTATAATAGACCTATAATAGACCTATAATAGACCTATCGCGAAAACCGCCTGCCGGTGTGTTTTTTATTTCTTTAAATTCTTTCTGGTTCTATTTTATATTTTTCTGATTTTTATTGAAATTTTTAAGTGTATTATTTTATGGTGAGTGAGTTAACTACTTTTTTATTGCTGGAAAATGCAAATTTCTATTCAATTTTCATCGAGAAAATTGAATATCGATAACTAGTACAGTAAGATGTAGCTCTAGTGGTGAAACTATAAAGATAATGTGTGAAGGATAAACTTTATCAGATTAAATCATGCCTCGTACGACACATAAGGAAGTTCGACCATTTCATGGAATGGGAAGCAATGATACAAGTAAGATTAATTGTTGTCCATCATCATTGCATCATTGTACAACGAACTTTCAGGCAGTCAGGAAAGAAGGGTTGGTGAAGATGATGTTCCGTATGCAGTCAAAGAGATGGCAACACTCGAAGATACTTCCAATGTAGATTTTGAAATGGAATTAGAAGATATGGATAAGGATGAGGACACGGATGAGGATGACGGGGGGCAGACAGGTATTATGCTAGAACTTAGAGATTCACTGTCCTGGTTTAGATTTGAACAGAATGATAGAAGAAGTTTCGACGCCCGTATTGTTGTTCGTAACAAATCTAATTGTATCAGTAGATTGTCGAATAGAGGTAAATGATAGGAAACTTATGAAAACAAGTAGTTTTTTTCGCATTCAGAATTCGAACGACTTTTAACTAGTCAAGAGGATACTTTTGCGGAAGAGGCGCGGAAATTATGGTATCATTACAAAAGTAATTTTTCATGCCACAACTACTGTAACGCATGTGGTGAGGGACTTTTGTCTTCGCACGAGAAATGGTAACGGATATGTATAAGTGACTGAGCATTTCTCCCTTTTACAGTAATAAATGCGTCGACAGTGCTACTGCAACGTTCGTCCGTATTGGTAGCAGATCCCAATTAAAAGAATTGGTGGAACTATATATTGATAAGATCATGGAAATCAGGAAACAACTGAAAGAAGGGAAAAATATCGTTCATAATTTGAATAGCCCCTTTTTCTCTAAATATTGGAAAGCAGAACTTCAGAATCACTTGAATCTTTCCACTGTTATTTCAATTGATGGAATTCAGATTTCGGGTAACAAAAAGTAGTAATTTTTCACTTAACCTCGGATCAATAATGCAGTTCAGGAAATTATGGCCTGTTAGCCTTGTTTTGGTGGATTTGCCGTCTAGCGAGATGCAGAAATCGTGCAACCTGATTCTAGAAGGAGCAGTCGAATGTAGTGAAAATCCATCAACTTTACTGTGGAATGCTATATTTGGAAAGATCCGTTCTGATGTAGAAGCTCACACTGGCAGAGTTGGAAACATTACTTACGATTGCAAAATCACTACGTGTTGTGCAGATCAGCCGGTGCACTAATATCTCCTAGTTTATCAATCATCAGTTTTTTAGGCGAAAAGATCCTTCTTTGGTATGAAAGGACATTCATCTAGTATGTCTTGTTTCTACTGTCTGAGCGAAGAAACACTGTACAAGCGGGGTGGTGTAAGCCGAAAAGAACAACGATACGGAAATCTGACTGTGTTGGATTCCAAAAACGGAGAAAATGGATTCTCATCGAAAAGTTCTAAAGTTGTAGAGGTCATTGCACCTTACAATACTCCGATTGACATTTTGCACAATACCGGAGAAGGACTTTTTGATCGTATTCGGAAAGGTATACACTAATAATATTCCAGTATAGTACTGTAGCGATACCTCTATTTCCAGAAATCTTTCCTCCAGATACAAAATTTATCCGAAAGTCAGACTTATTCGTCATTGATCCCAGCTCATTCGCGCGTGATATTCGTCGAGTATACTTGCATTCCAATTACGAGAACATTGAAAACCTTCGCAACGGCTCAGATAAAACTCATGTAGGAGACTGCAAAATTACAGTACAAAATTTTCGTTTTCAGCACCTCCGTCTCACGCTTGCTCTGACAGCCCTAGTATCAGATTCAATGAAACCAAAGGCTAGACTAGTTCTAATAGCCTTAGGATTTCTGACAAATAAGATGTACAGTAATACGCAAGCTCCAACATTGTTCGATATTCAGCTGTAAACTTTTTGGAAAC